GATGTTTATTTGGTACAGAATAAGGAATACAAACTTCTGAAACCAACTAAGATGGCTCTAGTAGACAAAATGATGCAATATGCATCTGGCACTGCAGGTGCTGAAATATCATGCAGTTGCGGTCTGTTCAAACCCCCCCCCCGTAGGTGACGTGATGGCACAATGCCTAAATAGTCGGTTTGAACTCTTGCGACACCGGCTTCGATTCCGCAGAAGGACGATCTTTGTCTTAATCACAAATTCCATGAGCAAAAACTTCATTCTTGACGCTGCTTTAGACTGGAGTTGTTCGGTCAGTACAACTTCTGACTCAGAACCGAGAGATTCGGGCTTCGAGAGCCGGTCAGGGTCACTCTCTTTTGCTTCTTCCAAGGCCGATAAAAAAATCACCCTGTGTGAAGGAAAGAGGAAACTATGCACTATGATCGCCAAATAGCTGCGGCCAAATCTGCTCTTAAAAAACAAAGCACTCTTGAGATTTAACATGGAGATCAGCGCCATATCATTAACTTTATACAAAGAAAAGCGTCAAAAATGAACCGTCTGGCGTGAAAGTGAAAAGAAGACCGACATTCCAACAGTTATATCGTTTTCTTTCCTTTCTAAATGCCATCAGTCAAGTACGAGCAAGGAGGCACAGTAATACGCCGTGAAGTTTAGTGTTGGTCTATGATGAACTACGCGTTAAGATGAATAGGTTGGAGATCTACAGGGTCAATTTATCGTAACTTCACTGCCACATTACGAGAGGCCTTAGATATTTTTGCATCGCCCTAGCGACAGTTATTTACTGCTGTGTCAGACAGCAAACATTTTACCTGTGCTTATGAGGTGGCTAAATTTATGCACGCTAATGAGTGCTCTCACAAATGAAAGCACAAATTCGGTATCGAATATAAGAATAAGTTAACCAGAAGATAAATAGACCAAGCCTCGTCAATCCCAAGGCCTGAGATGAAAAATCTCCACAGCCGCATTCACCGCATACTAGAGCCATCTGATTTTATCACTACACTTAAACAACATAAATGAAAATTTAGGCTGCATTAAGTAATCATAAGCATTAATTCAAACCAATAAGTAGATACTATTTGCAAACTTTTCATAAAATTCAGATATTCCAGTCCATCACTGTTCAGTACGGCTTTATCGTAAAGAACGCTCAACTCGATTTAGCAATACAATTTACCTATGCAGTAAAAAACTACTACTAATTTCACGTTTCAAATGAAATTAGCAGCAGATACTCCATACAATGAAGATTCAAACTGTCACGCAATAGTAAAAACCTACAGACCTGAATAATTCACGGTAGCATATATATTTGCTACTGCAACGATTCCCATAACAAATTCAAAATCTAACCTACAACAAATCTCAGACTCTGTTCACTAATTTTTAAAAGTAAGCTACATAATATTTCTAACGAGCAGAAATTTAAAACTTTTGGGTTTTTTAATAATCAATTACATCCCAAAAAATATAGCATTGCCTCGCGAAACGAAAAATTGAAGCTAAAATATAATGAGTTTAATGACTTTTTGGCTATGAAGAAATCTTAGGTTATTTAAATGAAAGATTAGTGCAAATATACATGAATAAAAACGAATTCTCCAAGTTAAAAAATATAGTTTTTAAACAATTCTCGCTGTGTTTGACTACAGGCTTTAAGAGGACTCGAATAAGAAATGATTAATAGCCGACTAAATTAACTAATTAGCTATGATGAACTTAAATTAGTCAATAATATCACAAACCAAAAACCAAACTGAAATTTTGGTCCATACATCGGTGCGAAAACACTAACGGGAATCTAAACATCGAGTCAATTCAAATTTTAGTTGAAAAGCATAGAGAACCTTCAACAGCAACGATATGGATGTCACAAATCATTAAACCACACTAATATATCATCAGAAAAAATGCTCTGCGTCGAATTACACAATGAGACATTCGAAGAGAACAGTTTCGAGCACAGTTTCACCGGCTTAATAAAATCTTTGCAAGTAAAATGCCAATTGTTATAGTAGTTGTTCCTAGGTAACATCTCAAGCAATAATTTCATTTTCCGCATAAAGAAACTATGCATCATATTCAATACAACCAAGACAAGATATGGAAATGGTCATAAAATCGAAGATTTATAATTTACCATAACTATGATCAACAAGAAACGAATTCAGCTTGCAAATAAAAGTTTCCAATAAAATAGAGGACCGTTTAGAGGTGAAAAAATTTACTCACATTAGTAATAGTCAATAAAGTAGCGCATTTAATAGGTGAAACGGCAATGAGATAGTGAAGTGGTTAAATTAACAAGTTATACTGAAATAATGTGGAAACAAAGAAACGGATAAAGAAAAGAAGACATAATACGTAAAGAAAATATCAGAACCTGAAAGCAAAGGAATGAAAGGGAATGAAAAAAGATGTCAAAAACTAAAAAATATGACAAATACTTTTTAGTCAGATATTAAGAACAAAGATATTTAAAACGATATTCCAACAAAATATCTGTAGCTTATTTCATGAGGTCCGTCAACTCCCTCACAAGTTTTTGTAATAATGAATTGTCACAAATAAGGCCCATCAGAGTGAAAATTCCGAGTTTTTTATAGCTGCTGTCAATCATATGGAAGGAAAACGACCAGCCGTCTTAATCAAATGGTTAATATACGAAGAAGTGAAAACTCATGAAGTGAAAGTGAATCATATGAAGACTAACAAAACAGTACTAAAGAATGCGTTAGCATAAAATAAGAATTAGCAGAGCGAAGTAAAACCTGTATCTGAAGAATAAAGCGAAAGTCTATCCTCACAAGAGTGATGTAAAGTGTTGAATGAACGGTGACATCGATCGCAACAATGAACTGCATCCCTTGTTTTTAATTACCGTTGTCTGAAGATAGCAGAGTTCAACCAGCAGAATAAGCCAGATTTATGATGTCTGACCATTAGATTTGTCTAGCAGCACATATTTTAATCGAGACGATCAAAACACCCGCGCGAACAGAACGAAATCCTGATCAAGTTCAAATGAGACCTGTGAAAGGCACGTTGACAAAAGCGCTGCATCCATTCCACATTTATTAGTAAACAGTTTTAACACTATCTTATGCATACTCCTTAATCAATCTCGAACGCTTGCTACGCGACGTAATAATCTAACAACGTAAAATAATTAATAATGACCAAGAAAAGTTGAAAAATTTATTGCAAAAACATACTGCACTAAATCTGCTTCTGGTGCAGACTTTTCTTGTAGCATAATTTGTTCTTCGTCCTGCAAGCACTCAGCCCGCGACAAAACGGCATCTTCAGTACAGTGAAGCACCAGGATGTGAAAAGCAAACAGTTTATTAAGAAACTGGATCGAAAACGCCACTCCTTCCTGCAATCAAAACGTTTCTGCAACAGTTCTGAGAACGGAAAAGAGACCAACTTTGTGATTTGAATCAGGGAGCAAAAAAAGGCGTAAAATAGAATCAACCGGACGGTACGCACTGGGTGAAAGAAGATCGAGTAAAACCATAACCACGTTAACCTTTCTTCGCGAATCGATAATCAACTAATAAAAACATAATCGATTTATAAATCATATGCAACATATGTTAAAAACAGAACAAAATATATATCAAGATAACGCTAAACTGCGCTGAAAATACTGACAGAAGCACATTCTGAAATTTACAGTTCCAGTGAACTGCAGACTTGTTTCGTGCGTAACAGTATTATGGATTTATAACATATGAAAGGAAAGTTCTTTAATTAGCCAAATATCTAGGAGTAAAAAGAAATGTGATAATGCCATGCAAACTGGCAACGTTTAACTGTATTAACGTTTGTCATGTTTCGACAAAATGTGAAGATTACAGTCAGTGGTAATATTTTAGGTTCTAATCAAATAATTGCCATAAATATATGTGGCAGTAAGTGCACCGCTGAAGCACTTCCACCGGCGGAACCCACAGATGTTAAACATAATAGCGGTTCGGTGTTAAGGAACGGTTTGGCAGAATAATAAAGAAAAAAGAGGGGAATGTTAAGAACTACAGAAACAATGAAGTCGCACAGCAGCAATAGGAACAGATGGGGAAATAGTCTGCCATTTAGATCAAATATAAAGTACTGGTTAAACCTTAGCTTTCTCTTAAAAACGACGTTAAATGACAAGATTGAAGAATCAATTTTTACACATTTAAGCAATGACTAA